TTAATTAGGTAATCTAAAAGAATATTAAACTCGAATAAATTAATTATGGTCAGCGTTTCTAATACTCGGGAAATTATCATTAATTCATGAAAAATAAATATTAAATTTTTATTTATTAATTGATCGACAAACCACGTGATCACACTACATTTTTTCTTTCTTTTTCAATAAGAATTTTTTTTAAAAAGTATGTACACTCGTTTTCGTGAATAAAGTTAAATTTACATGTACCAACTGATTAAATATACATTTTTTTTAGATGAACAACCAATATAATCAAACGACTTAGAAAGATTAAAGAGTAGGTGTAGAAAAAACGAATAAATTAAAAAAAAATACCATACCGTTAATAATGGTTATGATAATACTTTATATTTTATATTATGGAGGTACGCTTAGAATGTATTTTGCTAAAATTGCCAATTATTAGTCACATATGAACGTGTACAAATAGAAATTGTCTAATTATTCCTTTTAAAATTTTTATTACAGCGATTACGGATTTCCTTAAAAAAACTTTAATAATTAGGAATCCTTTTTTTTATTCTTTCTTTTAATTTGTATTTTTTATTTATTTTATTTGCTATTAAATAACTATTTATCGCGGCTTTTACTGTCACCTTATACTTCATTCAGTAATTTTTTATTTTATTTTTATCTTTTAATTTATATTTTTATTTTTATCTGCTATTAAATAACTTTTTTACTGTTACCTTAAACTTTATTCAATAATTTTTTGACAATAAGAATATCGTTTAATTTTCTGAGGAAGTAAGATACGAAGACCAATTTACAAAATTTAAAAAAAAGCAAATCGAATTCTAATTCTTTCTTAAAAGGATCAATTAATTATGTATGTGGTCTAGATAGATCAAATACTTATTATTGAAAGGAAGGAAATGGCATAGGTCCGAAATGTCAGAAATGTGAGATCTACCATCAAAGTACAGCAGTAATATTTTTGGAGCCATACATGCAATAATGAAATGAATTTATTCAAACTAATTCGTGTAAGTAAAGTTTTATGATTTCCAAGATTTTTGGCCTAAGATTTCCTTTTCTCCTTTTTTTTTATTTTATACTAAATTTGCTTTAATTATCAGTTTATGGGCCAAACTTTTGGATCCAATACTAGTGACAGCTTCTGGGGAGGTTTATATTGGCCGATCATATCTATTGGGTTACATAACAGTACGACTTCCTGAATATACAGAACATTTCCGAAGCCAATTTCCGGAACTCCAGTTTCCCGAACTGGATAAAAAAAAATTCAAGATTTATTAATATTTTTTTTATTATAAATCAAAAAATTAAATAATCATTTGAAAAATTACCACAAGAAAAACTTCAACAGGGAAGATTATTACGTTACGTTCACAAGTAGCTGAAGAATAGGCAGTGGTGAAGATAATGTTTGTATATTATGAAGCATTTGATTATTTTGTAATTTATATAATAGGTGATGAAGCTGAAGTAGGAGAAAGAGACTTATGCAAATTATTTAGTAGAACCAATCGATATTCTGTAAAAATTGTCCAAAGAATTTTATATTGGATTAGTAAGAGATTTTAATTTTAATAATAGATTCTTGAAGTAAAATCATATAATTAGCAAGTTCTCCGGAAATTAGTAAGACTCCGAGGATTGTGGATGACTATTGACCGCTTGCGTTGTAAAGGTGTGAGAAAATTAAAATCATGTAGTGAGAAAGTTTACTTATGTGTTACTTTAAAATTATAGCGTATGTCGGATTCCAATGCTTTATTATTAGTTACAATCGCAGCTATTGTTGGCCTTGAGTTTACGTGAAGCTTTGCAAAATATTATATTAACAAACGGTAAATTAATCATGTTCAATTAATTATTTGTTTATATTAAATCCTTTATTAAGCTATTATTATTTTTCTATAGTCCGTATACCCATGATAATAAAATAAAACAAAATGTGTTGATGCTTTGGCTTCAACATTGGATGACGTATTTTAAGTGTAAATTTTATCGGGCCATTCTGACTTCACAATTATTAATATAATTAATAATTTCATTATTTGAATTACAATATTTGAGGACATATTGACGGCCGGAACACAAGAAACCACAAATTAATCAAGAGTTTATGAAATGACTTGTCAGATAAAAAAAAAAACACTAAATTGCATCACAATTACCTGAGATAATGGTGAAAGCTTCTGACGACAATTTTGAACCTGTCCTTAATCGGCTTTTAAAGGATTGGGAACAAGGGTGAAGGGAAGGCAATGAGCGCTTTCTTGGAAGGGCTTGACGATATAAAAAGGGAAAAGATATGAAAAGGCCGAAGTTAAAGTAATATTTCAGGCATCCACATCCAGCAAAGCAGATGCACCTAAAGGGATAACCTGTGACAAAAAAGTGAAGCTGTGCGTCATATATTCGGTTAATTTAATCTTTTTTCCTTTGATATGTTATAGTATAGTTCAACTCATTATGCCTTTTTTTAATGGGATACGCATTTAAGAAGGCAGCTCCTATTGTAAGATTTCAATTTTAGATTTCATCAAAAGAATTTAATATAATGGAGATACTTTGTAAAAAGGTTCCATCATTTAGAAAATCAACAGCGTGATCAATACCAAGTAGGATCGTTTATTTCATTATTTACAATTATTTTTTTCAAAATGTAATATCTTGTTTATAAGATTGATTGTTACTTTAGTATAAAGAACGTGCGGGAGATGCATTAACGGCTTTGTCCGAAACTATTGGTACTTTCGCAAAGTTACTAGTTATATAATAAATATTTACAATACTAATAATACTAATAATACTAATAAAACCTTTTAAATTACAGCATGACCCAATGCGTAAAGATAGATTTATATGGAGTTTGGAATAGCAGCTCTTCAAGCGCGAGAATTTATTTATTTTCTCAATTTCACATTAGAAAGCTGTTCGGCAAATTCAAAGAATGATTTTCAGATTGTCGCACATGGATCGATCAATTATAACTTGCAAATAAGTTCGAAATGATGAAGTTAGAAAAAGCAGCATAGTAGGATATGATAGCAAAATGTGAGGATTTTAAAGTGCAGTAAACAGCTGATTGACCAAACAAGCCCTAGTAGCACTGGTTTGAGAAAGGATGCGACTTGGTGCACCATCAGGCAAGAATAAAGCTGTTGCAAGATGAATAAAGAGCCAACGAAATTGCCACCGGGATTAATTCTTAGACCACCAGATAATTCAACCTTTAATAAACCTACTGCAACATTATCAAAATCCATTAGCCACAGAAAATCATATTGCATCAAAATACCTACAAATGGACATCTTTACTAGCAGCACAGCTTATAAGATTCAGTCTGAAGTGGCATTTCAAGTGATATTGGTACTTTCGTCAAGATTATAGTTTTCTCGATTTTGTTCTATTATGAATTGTGCAAACAACATCTAATAGTTCCATCGTAAGAAAGAATTGTGAAGTTTTAAAGTTAATAATTTAGAACATCCCTTATCTTATACATAGCTTCTACAATAACTATTATATGAAATGGTTATAGAAATCAGCAAAGGCAGTTCAAAATAATTTGATGTCTAGCATCCTACACTGAATCAATTATTACATAATATTAATAGCTTCTTTTAGCAATACCATCAGTTGCAAAGGTATCACTAAGTGAAATGACTTAAGAAACTATTACTTGAATTTGTAATTATATATTGTTTAAAAGGATCTTTATTAGTTATTCAATATCAATATAATAAAATATAAAACTAAGTAAATGACTATTAAAAACACATTGTCTAGAATAATTGTTAATTTAATTTGGTTGGATTTAATGATCAAATAAAATATAAAATCTTTACTTTGATTTTTAACATAATTCTTTTAACTGATTTCTTTTAGAAAATATTGAATATAAAATTAAAAAAATCAAATTTGTAATTATTTTATTTTAAATAATAATAAAAATATTATTTTCAATAATAGTAATGATTTTTTAAAAAATGATAAAAATGTATTATTCTTAAAAAATATTATTATTATTCAAGTTAAATAATAATTTACTTAATTTTATATTAATTATTTTTGATTTATATTTTTAATAACTATTATAAATTTTTTAATTTTTATTTTTTATATTTTTTTTAAATATTAATTTAAGTTTTATAAATAAAATAAATTTTTTTAAATTATAATTCAATTGATTTAAATAAATTTTCTAATTTGATTTAATATTATTTTAATGATTTTTAATTATTCTGATTTGAATTAATTTATTGACCCCAGTTGTTGTCGTAGCTCCCATTTTAAGACATATCTTGGAAGTTCGCTCCAATTTGTGCAAGAGTTTAATATGTTTATATATTAACTTAAGGAGTTTTGGTCTAAGATTACGAGTATGGTGTGATGTATGTTTATTCAGTATATATTTAAGCGCAGCATCTATAATAGCTTTTTGTAGAAGATCCCATATGAAGTTGAGTTTGTGGATGTTAGGAATGTTGTTAAGGTCAACTGAGGCTAATCTTGATTTTTTGCAATGAGCATTAATGGCATCAGCAAAAGTAGACCAGTCCTTTTCCGTCATATCTTGATACATAAAGATATGTTTTTTCACCATTGAGGTATTGCTGAAGCTTATAATTATAATATAATTATATAAAATATTAAATAATATAACTTAAAATTAAACTAATTATAATATTTAAATACTATTTAATAATAAAAGTTATATTAAATATTATTATTATATTAGTATTTATATAATGCAATATACTTAATATAATAAAAGTAATTAATATTTATTTGTTAAATTTTTATAATAAAAAAATTATAATTAATATTAATAAGTATAATAAATAAATTTTATTAAATAAATATAATATTAAATTTAAAAATTAAAATTACATTTTTTTTTAAAAAGACAATATATTATATATTATTTATTTTAATATTATTAAGATTAATCACTATAATTAAAAAAATATAATTACAATACAAAATTCTAAAAAAATAACTTATATGGTGGCTGTCACCTATAAACCGCATTAGTCCGAAATTTCAAACGTTGATTATCACGTGATATTCACGTGATTTA